GTCTGCGGAGTGTACTGCGCGCCTTTTGTGTGTGTGTGTGTGTGTTGTTGACCTGCGGGGTGTACGGCGCTCCTCTTGTGTGTGTGTGTGTTGTTGGCCTGCGGAGTCTACAGCGCTCCTCTTGTGTGTTTGTGTGTGTGTGTGTGTGTTGTTGACCTGCGGGGTGTACAGCGCTCTTCTTGTGTGTGTGTGTTGTTGACCTGAGAAGTGTATGGTGCTCCTCTTGTGTGTGTAGTCCTTCATCATCATGGACGCGCCCTGACTGATCAGAATATCCACACACTCCACATGACCCTTAAACGCCGCCAGACTCAGAGCCGTGTGACCCTGCGGCGTCCTCACGTCCAGATCCAGCAGAGACTGCACCAGAACCTCCAGAGCGTGATGGTGACCGTGATACGCCTGGAAAAACACACACACACACACACACAAACTTCAGTTTTCAAATGTCATTATTATACCCAACATATAAAAATATTAATAAAAATCAGATTCCAAATCTAAAATCTGACTGGATGAGCCACATTTTAAAGCATCGAAGCTGATCTTTGACTTGCATGCTGAACCTAATCTGGACTAGTAAACCATATTATTTGGCTGAAGACTTGTTTATTGTGATTACTATTAATATTACATTTAATTAATTAATGAACATGGGTGCCTTTTTTCAAAACACTGTAAAACGCTAATTTAGCATTATTTATATGCATTCATATGCTTTCATTTTCAGATATCACTTCTTGTTTGAATTTAAGTTTAAGTTTTATTAATTTTGTTATGTGCTTTTGTCATTTTATTAAGTTTTTAATACTTCTATGTAACTTTAGTTTTTATTTCAGTTTGAGTTTTAGTAACAGCATTCAATTCAGCATTAAATAATGAAAAACTATTGAGCTGGTGTTATTATTGATAATGATGTAAAATCAGTAATTGATACAAATCTGAAATAAAACAAAATATAAATATGGATAAAGATGTAAATATATAAATATAATATAAGAATATATAATTGTCTTATTTTTTCTATTTCAGCTTTATTTATTTTATTTATTTCAGCTTTATTTCAATTACCACAAACAATTATTAACAGTTTAGTTAATAACAACACTGATGCAATGCATAGTTTTTTACTGTTTAATGTTCACTACTATCTAATATTATATAATATATAATAAAATATAATAATAATATTACTACTATTGCATTATTAGTGTACAGCGCCTGAGATCTGGAGCTTTAACTCACGGCTAGGTGTAAAGGGCTGATGGGAGGCTGGACGTCTGTGTCGTGTAGGATGCTTGATGCAGACGTGTCCATCAGCTGAAAATACACACACATACAACTCATGGCTTTATGAATTTATAAACACACTTTAAATTAGTTTCATATCAGAGGAATGCGGTGAAAAAAAAACATTTAGTTTATGCTGAGAACATGAAATGGCACTGCGTGTTAGAGTTATTCAGTATTCAGAAAAACTGAACATTGGACTTGATTTTATTGATAAAGTTTTGATTGGATCATGAAATGTTGCTATTATTCATTAATAGTATTTTTTTTCACCCTTACAAGCTTGGTAGAGGCGGAAAAAGTTATTACAGTTTGATGGATTATGAAAGATTTTGGAAATGTTTTTTCTACATGCACCGATGAATCAAGCAGAAAAAGACCATAAACATTTCTTAGTACAGTAGAGAGTGCTGATTTGTGATTTCGTGTCGACTTTGTGTCCGTTAGAGAGCAGCATTGCACAGATTTTGTATTGTAAAGGTCTATTCAAATAGAAATACAGATTTCAACTCACCACGTCTAACGGCATTTCATTGGCGATCTGCAAAATAAAACACAAAGATAAATGCTAAACACAAAGCAGCAGTGAGAAGTGTTTGAAGCTCATGGTGTGTGTGTGTGTGTGTGTGTTAGTGATGCACTAACCAGCTCCAGACACACTCGGTGGCCATACGCTGAGGTGTAGTGAACGGCACTGTATCCATCTTTATCCCTGAGAGCTGGATTTGCATCATTCCTCAAGAGATACTCCAGACACCTAACAGAGATCAGATCAATGAGTCAAACACACACTGTTTAGAACAGAGCGAACAGACGGGGTCTGCAAGTAAAAACCCATTCATTTTCTCCATAGTGAAATCATAACTCAGATGATGTTAATCAATGGTATATAATTTTGTTAAAGCCACCAGTTTGCATTATTTCAACTTATGTTTAACAGCAGAATTCTTAGTGAAAAACTACATTACCCATGATGCTGTTCAAAAATGCCACCAGAGTCGTTGCAAGCTAATTTTTTGGTTTTTATTTTAGTTTGACTTTTAGTAATTTTACTGTGTCAACTTAAATGTATTCATTTTAGTTAATTGAAAAGGCAGCATTTCTAATTCGAAAGTTTTTTAAGTTTTAAAAACCTAATATTTATATTTTAGTTCAGCTTTATTTCACTTAAAGAAACTGCTTTTTCATAGTTTTAGTTAACAATATCACTGATGCAATACACAACACTCTTAACAGAAATTGATTTTTGACAATAACCCAAAACTGTAAAGGCAGATACACTGTGAGCTCTGAGGTAGTTAATTGATGGTATGTTTTTGTGAAGTCAGCTCACATTATGTCAACTTATTTTTAAAATAATCCTGTTTAACAAGTTAAATCTATGGTGAAAAACTACATTACCCATGATGCTGTGCAGAAAATTCCACCACAGTGTCACAGTGAACAAACAATTTTTATTTGTTATTTAGTTTTTATTTTATTTCAGTATTTTATTTCAATTTTCAAGTTTTTCCAAATAATATTTATATTTTATTTAGGCTTAATTTCACTTAATGAAAATTATTTTATATCTATATATATCTATATATCTATCTATCTATCTATCTATATATCTATATATATATATATATATATGTGTGTGTGTGTGTGTGTGTGTGTGTGTGTGTGTGTGTGTTTCTATGGATATGGTCAACAACTTAAAATGAATAGTTTTATATTTCACAATCATTTTAAATTTGATTATGTCATATGCAATGGTTCATGGGATTGTAGTTCTTTCCCTCAAAGTCTGTAAGTACACAGTCTTGTATCTTTGTCTGTTTTTCAAATACTTCACTTCAAATACAATTTCAATTTTACTATGTAGCTGGTTGTTCGGTTCGTGGCTTATAACATCTTAACAAAGTTTTTAAAAAATCCCTTTGGGAAAAAATTGAATGGAAAAAATACTCCCAGAACCAATGCTGCTGAAACATTTGGCGGGCACTAATACACTCTATAAATAGTTGTAAAATAAATTACTATGTTGTATCTGTGCACAATAAACATTTGATATATGACAGAAACAGCCACATGACCTACTATGTTTGCTGATACAGTATGTGCTGCACACTACTGAAAATACTGTCTCCCATGCAGTGCACTCAACATGACCTTGAATGTCCAGTGTGCTGAACGGCAGTGTGTTTGTGTTCATCTCTCTGTCACTCACTTGCCGTCTGAGTCTGCGGCAGCGGTGTAGTGCAGAGGACCGCAGCCCCTGATGTCCCGCTCGTTCACACTGGGCCCGGAGCCCACCAGAGCAAACACACACTGATAGTTACAGTTAGCAGCAGCGTAATGCAGCGCCGTCCTGAGAGAGACAGAGACAGAGATAAATCATAACCATATCATGTAGCTGGTTGTTCGGTTTGTGGCTTATAACATCTTAACAACGTTTTTAAAAAATCCCTTTGGGAAAAAATTGAATGGAAAAAATACTCCCAGAACCAATGCTGCTGAAACATTTGGCGGGCACTAATACACTAATAAATATTTGTAGAATACATTACTATGTAGTATCTGTGCACAATAAACATTTGATATATGACTGAAACAGCCGCATGACCTACTATGTTTGCTGATACAGTATGTGCTGCACACTACTGAAAATACTGTATCCCACAATGCAACGCACTCAACATGACCTTGAATGTCAAGTGTGCTGAACGGCAGTGTGTTTGTGTTCATCTCTCTGTCACTCACTTGCCGTCTGAGTCTGCGGCAGCGGTGTAGTGCAGAGGACCGCAGCCCCTGATGTCCCGCTCGTTCACACTGGCCCCGGAGCCCACCAGAGCAAACACACACTGATAGTTACAGTTAGCAGCAGCGTAATGCAGCGCCGTCCTGAGAGAGACAGAGACAGAGATAAATCATAACCATATCCCTGCTGCAGGATTCCTGTAATGCTGCTTGATCACTGCAGCTCTATCAGTATCTGTGCTGGAAATCTGTAGGAAAATGCACATCCCAGCATGCTTTAATGACAACAGCTGACTGCAAGTGTGGAGCCTGTCAACAAAACAACTGGGTCACATTTTCATAGCTCATGACAAACACCTGACTGATCAGACTGATTTGATGTAGACTTGATCAGGTGCAATACTGACACTCTGTCGTGTCTGAATGATCATGGAAGGTAAAATAATGATCACAACTATTCATAACATTAATGAGAATTTGTTTTAATCTAAAGTATCACAGTTTCCACAAAAATATTGGGCAGCACAAATGTTTTCAACATTGATAATAATCAGAAATGTTTCTTGAGCAGCAAATCAGCATATTAGAATGATTTCTGAAGGATCATGTGACACTGAAGAGACTGGAGTAATGAAAATTCAGCTTTTATCACATTTATTACATTTTACTATATATTCACATAGAATACAGTTATTTTAAATTATATAATATTTTTACAATTTTACTATTTTTACTGTATTTCTGATCAAATAAATGTAGCCTTGGTGAGCACAAGAGACTTCATTCAAAAACATTTAAAGGGGTCATATGATGCGATTAAAATTTTTCCTTTCTCTTTGGAGGGTTACAAGCTCTTGGTGCATAAAGAAGATCCGTAAAGTTGCAAAGACTAAAGTCTCAAATCCAAAGAGATATTCTTTATAAAAGTTAAGAGTCAGCCACGCCTACCTAAAACG